AATGCTTCCTATTGATGATTTGCAAATTTGATTTTTTCAGAATTGTAAGTCTGAATTATATGCACAAAATTCTCCTCCCCCTTCTCATTCATTGATTTCATGCAGCTATTGAAATCTCAACATACTGCAACATATGTGGAATTATAATATTTATCTTCCCTTTAAGAAAATAATTCACTTATATTTCAAGACTTACTTTTAAAAAATTCTTCCACCCACAATGATGCTACCATTAAAGTCCTACCCCAATGTCTCCTGATACATAGTGATGGAGAGGTCAATCAGGGTATTCTTGATTACTGGACGAGCAGAGGGTGAGCTCTGGTGGGTCCTTCAAAGCCATCTCTCAATGAAGGACGAGCCCAGCAAGGGTTGTAGTGCCTTATTGCCAGAAAGTGATCACCAGCTAGGGAAGTTTTTCAGCCACAGCAACTCCTGAACACTAAGGTACAGAGGATTTGCCACCTACATTCATTTTTGAGTGGTACTCATGCCGGCAGAATTGTGGGTTCTGGAAATAGTTGAATAGATAGTAATGAATTTTATATTCATTTTAAAAGCTCATCGAAAATTTCCAAATGTCATTTTTTATCAACTTTACCACAAAATAAATCACACAAAAGAGTATAGAAAAAAGGGCTTTTAATAGTAAAAAAAAAAATTTCCTAAGTACTCTTGCTATAAATTTTGCAAATGTAGATTTTTAAAGACTTTAATGATCAATACAGTTGAGCAGGTAGGCTTAGATACTTTATTTATTATTTATTTCATCATTCCAAAGAAAACTATAAAATTTAGAGATAATAGCGTTAAAATTTAGGGTTAATAGTTCCCTAGTCTGTAATTATAAACCCATAATTGAATCCACAATTCTGATCAAAATAGAATGATATTACAAAATAGAACAATAAAATGAAACTTGTAATTGCATTACAAGGCAGATTATGGAGGCTTGGGTAAAAAAGCATGCCAGACTCCCTCAAAAACTGAAACTTTTTACGTAAACCAGATGTGAAAATGTCTCATTACTTTATTGTCACATCTCATTTATAAAACATTAGATCTAGAAAATACCTTGGAGGGCATCATCTATTCCAACCCCTTCATATTTCAAATCAGAAAATTGAAGTTGAAGGTGAAATGAGTTGCCTACGGTCACATAGCAAGTTATCAAAGCCAGAACTTAAAATCTCAGTTTTCAGATTCCCAGGTGACATTTCTTTCTACTCCATGATGCTATTTACAGAAGCTTTATACATTTTAGGCCAGCATCTGTACTCATAGTTGATTAGAGATGGAAGGAAGTGAATTAAATTCAACAAATGTTAATGATGTTCATTCTATATGCCAGGCATCCATTTAGGGTTAGCTAAACGCTGAAGAGGCAAAAACAAAAAATACTCCCTACCCTAATGGCTATTCTACTAGGGTGTGCACATAAACAACAAAATGAGAAGGGAGAAAACACAACTGAGGGCATCAGGAAAGGCTTCTTATAGGAGAAGTAGCAGAGCCCAAGAAGAAATTTAAAATACTGAGAAGCGGAGATAAGGGAATATGTTCCAGGCTTCAGGGACAAACTATACAAAGGCATGGCAGTGGGAGAGGACATGCAGAGTTTGGGCTGGAGAAATATAGAGTGCATTAAGCAGAGTCATGAGATAAGTCTGGAAAGGTGGGCTCCAGCCAACCTTTGAATATTAGGGTGAAAATTTTGCATTTTATGCTAATGACAGTAGAAAGACACTGGAGATTGTTTTGTGTGGGAGTGACATGCTCAGGCATTTTCTTCATGAAGATTATTTTGATAGCTAAGCCGAGGGAGAGTTAGAGAGGGGAGATTGGAAACAGACCCATTAGGAGACAGTTGCAATAGTTCAGCCAGGAGGTGATGAAGACCCAAACCTAGTGGTGAATATGGCAGTGGAGGAAAGGAAGCCGACGCAAGACACATGATGGAAACAGGATCTATGAGACTTGGCAGTCAGTTTGGTTGTGTTGAGTCAGGGAAAGTGAAAAATCCAGGATGACTCTTGGATGGTAAACTTGGATGACTGGGAGAATTATGGTTCCCTCAACAGAAGTAGTAAAGCTGGAAAGATGAATTCTTTTCAAGTTTCTTAATCCTTAGAAATGGTCTAGTCTAACCCCATTGTTTTACATGTGAGGAAAATGAGACCACGAGGTTACCTGACTCACAACATAAGAGGTAAATGCCAGGCTCGGGGTTCACACTCAAGCTTCCCAGCTCCCAAGTTCTTTACACCACTGGTATCATACTTAGTTAGAAACCATTGATTTAGAAAACCACAAGTTAGCATTATCTATGTTCTGTTTTATTTTTATTTTATTAAACATATCTCAATCACATTTTAATGTGGTTCGGACAACACTCTGGAGTTTTGCAGGTGTCATGTTTGACACCTCTGCTTTACGCCATCCTACATCTTGTTTACTTCCTCCTTGGTGCCTTCACATTGAAGCAGACTAACGTACTTCCCTCTCAGCCTACCTTAGCACTTGTACATTTACTGATTTATTACTTGGCATGTAAATACTTCCTAAGCCTAGCAGCAAACCTCACTGCCTGGGAGCAGATTCCATCTACCCAGTACCAGAGAACATCCTTCTTTCTCCAAATTCTCTGAATAGTTTCTAAATAAAGCCTTTTAGCTTTCAGATATGTTAACAGAACATCAAAGGGGGCCAGTTCCTGTGATACCCAGCCAAGGAATAGCCACCAATCACATGACAGTCACTTTTGAGCGGAAGAATGTATGTGCATTTCAAGGCATATAGCCAAATTCAGAAATGCACTAGATAAAAACCAAATGGTAACACCTCCTGAAGCAGTGCTAGGCTGGAGCTCTTCTATGCCGCCAGTTTTCAAGGTTGTATCTCCAGAATGGGTACTAGCACTTCCTGTGCACAAAGAAACACCTCCACCTACCAGCCTTATGTAGAAAGCTTAAAGTTGGTCTATACAGAAATGTAACCAGAAATGTATCAATGGCCTTTTAATTTTCTCTAACCACTCATTATTCTATTGTGATGCTGAGTACATGAAGTAAACCAGATTATACAAATATTATATTTATCCTCTTGACAGCTTTCAATGAGTAGAAATAACTGGACCTAAAAATCTAGTGGCCAGCTTATAAAAACTGGGAAATGTTGGCTGCTGCTGCTGCTATTACTGTTGTTGTTGTTGAAAAACCTTTTCATCAGGAGTCAGAAGACCTGTGTCCAGGCTGCATCATTTACAAGCTGTGTGACCTCAGACAAGTTACCTAATCTTTTCAAGGTTCTGTTTCTTATCTGCAGAATGAGGGAATTAGCTTAGGTCATTGCTAACATCCTTTCTAAATCAGAATTCCGTGATCCTCTGTGAGTAGCAGAGGCTCGCCCTTAGAGGTTGCCCGCAGTTCACCGAGACTGGTAGGTAGATTTGAAGTGACAGATTAAACTCATCAAAATCATTCAGTTGAGTGAGTTCTGCTATACTTGTAGATGCACTCTGGGATACACAGCTATGATCATAATTTTTTTCGCCCATTTAGCAGCTCTCAAAGTAAACAGCTTTTACATAGTAGGGATTTTAACATAGGCTGAATGTACAGTTTCAGAGGAGTCATGTTGAAGTAAGCTTTCCGTCCCCAGACAGAGAGCTGATGCATTCATAATACAGATGGAAGAAGCTTTTTTTGGGGGGGGGGCACATGGCTAATATGAGAATTTGTTTTGCTTGACCGTACATGTTCATAACAGGCTTTGTTTTTCTTGCTTTCTCAGTTTGGGGGAGGGGAGAATATTGTAGGTGAGAGAATTCAGAATTGAAAATAAAATTAAACTGAATTTTAAAAATAAATGTACTTTAAATGAATAAATGTTTGAATAAATGAAAAACATGCCCCACAATTTTAGTGTACTTTGTTATTCCGTTTTAACTTCTGGATTTTCAAGGAAATACTGGTCCTGTAGTATTTTTATTTGCACTGACAGAAAATTGCATAGAACATATATATATACATATTTTAAGTTAGAGCAGGGAGGAACATTTGATATGCCCAGAGAAATTATGGCTTGATCAATGTCACACAAGTTCAGTGTCAGAGAATATAATGGAAAACTGAAACATATGCATTCATTCTTTGCTTTGATCAGTAAAAATGACATTAAACAAGAGGCATTCCATGTGCTTTGCCCCCTCACCCTTCTGTCTAATTTGCAGAAGATACTTTTAGTATATGTTGTTTCCCTTCTTAGAATGTGAGCTCCTTGAGAGCAGGGACTTGTACATACTAAGCACTTACTTTATTCTGTATAAATTATCAGAAATTTCCTTAGGTTTGTGTTTGAGAACCCTCCTCAGCCACCTTACCCTTAAATCCATCATAATGCTAGATAGACTTCCTCCTCCCCTTTCTAGTCATTATTAGAAGACATCTTTTTTGCCACTATCTAGATGTAATACACTCAGTGGCCTTCTTTTGAGTTTTGAGAATTGAAATTTTTACATGTTTTAGTCTTTTAAAGTAGTTGACTAGTAGAGAAAAAAAAAAAAGCCTGGGAATTGTTATTTAAGTGAAATAATACTGCCTTTTCTATATCTGAAAAGAGCCCATGATAGACAGAAACCACTACATTGGCAAGTCTTAGAATTCAGTGCCTAGTTTGTTTTGACAAATGCATGTCTTTATTATAGTTTCTCTCAAGGATTCAGTCAGTAAGCATCCATCATTCAAAGACAGTCAAAAATTAATATTCATGTAAGTTTCTGTGAATTTTCTCATTCTTATAGTTTATGGAAGCTATGGAGAGAAGGGCAGCTTCCCATAATAAGTCCATCTACTCTTAAAGGTTTTTAATTTATGTATACTTCTGTCACTTTCCAAGTTGGCAAAGGGAAAAACCAGTAAAAAAATAACATTTTAAATGAAGTCGAGTTCAAATGTTGGGTTTATCATTTGTAATCCTTGTTGTATTTTATTTTCCTATAGTGTCAGAAGTCTGAAGCTATGATAAAACAGTTGAAGGATTTTCAGATCATTGCTCATCTAAAACGTCTTCAGGAAGATGTTTATAACTTGAAAACTTGGTCCAACAGGATAACTGAAAAAAGGGATAAATTGAACAACAACTTGACAGCTCTTTATCAAGCAGTTACAAACACAGACCAGAGTACAACTTTCCTGGCCAAAGAGGTTTCCCTCAAGATTACAGCTGTCAAAACTGACATAAGGCGTATTTCAGGGTTAGTAACTGATGTATCTTCATTGACAGAATCTGTACAAGACCTGGAAAGCAAATTAGAAAAAGCAGAACAGAATACGATCAAAAACATAGGTGACCTTCTTTCCAGTAGCATTGATCGAACAGCAAAACTCAGGAGTTTAGCATCTGAAAATTCAGAAAGAATTCAGGTTGCTAGGAAGATGCTTTCTGAGCTGAAGAGTGATTTCACCAAGCATTCAGATAGACTTTTAAACTTAGAAAGTGACAGGGCTAAAATTCTGAAAACAGTGAATTTTGCAAATGATTTAAAGCCTAAGGTTTATAACCTCAAAAAGGATTTTTCCCGTTTGGAACCAATGATAAATGATTTAACCTTACGAATCGGGAGATTGGTTGCTGACTTGCTACAAAGAGAAAAAGAAATTGCTTTCTTAAATGAAAAAATATCTAATTTAACTATAGTTCAAACTGAGATTAAGGATGTGAAAGAGGAAATAACCAAAATTTCAGATATAAATTAATTCAGGAGTTTTTAACCTTTTTTCATGTCGTGTTTTTAAATTCTTTAAGTACATAGGATTGCAAAGGAAACCAACTATATTGAAATTTATAAAGAAAAAAAGTTCATATACGACAGGTTAAAAATCTCTAAATTAATTGGTTTTTTAAACTCTTACTCAAATAGACAAAAAATGAAAAATGGGACCTTAGTCATATAACACACTGATAAAAAAAAAGTTTTAATTTAATACTTAAAATATTGGAAGCTTCTGAATTTTCTTGTGTTTGATAAAATGTGTCATAAAATAAAAGTGTTTTTAGTGAGCTGTGTAACAATTGAGTACTTAAGTTTTTCAACAAGTAAGCATGTACTCTCATGTTTCTCTCCAGGTGTCAGAATGTTATTAGGAGACTTTAGTAACTCTTGACAAAATTCAGGCCCTGGCATGAGTCTCCCCATTGCCGTAATGGGCTGGGCAAGTTTTGGAATGCTTCAGCTTCTTTACGTGACTCTGCCACCTTCAGACCCAATGTCTCACTCAGTTCTCAGAGCCATAGCTTTGCCTACATGTGTTAAGTATAGCTAGCTAATCATAACCAGGATTCAGTAGAGAGCTTATAATCTAGTTGGTTTAGAGAGGTACATAGATAGCTATACAGAAAATAGGTACAAGGAATGAAGGTTGGTGATCATGAAAGATTTCATGTAGAAGACGGTCACAGAAATATTATTTGCGTGTGTAAGACCTAATAAGGCACACCATGTTTTTGTCTCCTATTAAAGACCCAAGATTTAGATATCTTGATTGAAATAGTTTGCTGGTTGTGAAATTATGTGGTTGTGGTTGTGGTTGTGAAAACTTAGTTCCATAGGCTGCTCTGTAAAACTGGAATTATGTAATCCTCAGAGTGGACCACTACCAAAAAGAGTGTCTGTTGACTTAAAAGTCAAACCTTTATTTCTGGAATCCAGTAGGAATTATGTCCTAGAGAGACAATGTCATAGAGTAGAATGAGTTGTGAGATCTTGGAGATCCGAACTCAGGTTCGGAGTCTGGTGCTATAGACGAGCTGTGCCATGTGACCATGGGCGAGTCACTACAACCTCTCTTTGGGAAAAATGAGGAAAATATTTGCTTTACCTGCCTCCCAGGATCATTGCGAGGGAAACCTGTGCAACCCTGATGGGGGCCCTGTAAATGTGAGCTGTTAGATGTAATAACTGTTCCTTTTCCCCAGCAAAGACTGTTTATCTGTAGATTCCATAAACACCTATTAGGCCTTTGCTGTGGATAGCACCTCAAATTCTGTGAGGATGCATAGACACAAACAAATAGGAATAATCACTCATTACTATCACATCAGCTCTTTAGTTGGACCATTTCTTTTCACACTCGGAAGAGTCACGAAGCTCCTCAGTCAAATAGCAGTGGGACAAATGGCTTCCCTGCAACCCCAGGGACTTCAGGAAAATTTACTTCAGTGAATTCCAGGGTCTTCAAGATCAGGAATACATCTTCTCATCCAACTAACGTCTGAGATTTCTTGTGTCTTAACTGGGATAATCACCAGTTTTAAAATAACAAGCTTACACTAATAGAGTCCTTTTAAGGTTAGCAAAACATTTTCCCCACAACCATTCTATGAGTTAAGAGAGAGCAGATGAGGAAACTGAGGCTCAGATAAATGAAGTGATTTGCCCAGAATCACATAACTAGTCAGTTTTGGGTCTGAGATTGAAACTCAGGATACCCTTCCCCTGCCCCACACTTACCATGTAGAAGAACAGATGATGTGAAGGATAGAGTCACAGCTCCTTTTAATCCTAGAAGAAAATTCAGCATATCTTCTGATCTTGGAGCAGCTTAGACTCATCTGGGCAGAAAAAGAGAGAAAGATCCCTCCTATCCCTTGCTATAAATCCAAGAGAGAGTGCTTTTTAAAAAAAAAAAAAAGTCACAAAAGAGACAGGCAGGTCCAAGTCTCCTTAAAGCCTCTTATAGACTACAGATGGGGGAGGTTCTTCACTGACTTGAAGTCAAACATTTTTGACAGCCTTCCCCCCACCCCACGCCCTGGGAGTCAGAAGTTCCCTTTGTCTTCTCTTGGAGGACCTGGGGCGTGTGTTCAGCTCCATGAGGGGCGCCTCAGTCTAGCACAGGAAGGATCACACCTGATTTCCTGATCACCCCTGGGCCTCTCCCTAAATCTCCAGCAGGGATACCTTGCACAGAGCATAAAAGGATTCTGACAAGTTCTGGCCCCTCATCTGAATAACTGTAAAAATGTAATTGATGCAGTTGAACGCATTTTGAAAAATGTAGTGAAGGCTTTTCAAGAAGTTTGGGGATCATGTTTAAAACAATGTGAAGAATATTTTGTCAGTTTTTGTGCCATCCTATTTGAGGCATAAATAATTGTGAAATTTAAGCTCTCTCCAAAAGTTTTTGGTTTTTGAGCTCTGCTGATCTCATTGTTATATGTGGGAATTTGTTTTGCGTGATTGTATGTGTTTGTAATGAGTTTTGTTTTTCTGGCCTTCAAAATGGAAAAGAAAAAAGGCAGATCTTTGTTCAAAAATAAAATAAAACTGAATTTTAAAAAAAGGTAGAGAATTTTTTTAAGATTGCCTTGTTTTACTTGATCTCTCAGAAAATGATTATAATTAGAAAGTGAAGATAAGTCATGCCAGACTAACCTTATTTCCTACTTTGCCAGGATTACTAGACTATAGATCAGGGAAATTCTGTAGACATGGACCTGGATGTCAGCAAGGCATTTGTTAAAAGTCTCACATTATATAGGGAATTGAGGACTCCTGGGTAATAATACAGTCAGGTCAGTTTGGAATGAATTGACTACCCTTTGAGAAAGTAGTTTCAATGGAGTACTGGGGTTGGAAACCACACTTCAAGAGATGAGAGTGGGTAGAGAAGAAGTAGAGACATAGGATATAGGCAACTTTTATAAGAAGCTTGGGAAGATAAGAAGAGAAAATGGTAGCATAATGGGCTAGAAGGGTATAGGCCAAGGAGACATTGCAAGAAAATGGGAATGCCTCAGTGGATGGGGGAGCTCTAGAAGATGAAGAAAGGAAAAGTGACTTCTAAAAGGAGACCTGAGCTACTTTAAAAGGGAAGTAAACACTGCATATGCTGAGCAAGAGGAATGAGTAGTTTTTACATCCACTTGCCTGTGGTAATCATACTTTAAATGCAAAACTTATACTTTCTGATTTACTTGCACTTTTCTAAATTTATTGATAATCTGGACACTTTTCAGCAAACGCCCAGACGGTATCCATCCACAAAATAAATTCTATCCAAATAGTTAATCATTTTAATAATAATGGATAGTGTGTCCTTTACCTTTGAGAGTATGGTATTAAAACTAAACAATGAATTAGCCAGAGTTTTATTGACCTTTACTGTTGACTTTATATTGTCAGCAATATAATTGTATAATTAGGATCTGCTTTTTTCTACTGCATTAATTCATGCAAAACTTCTTGTTAAATTTTTCACATCAGTCATTCATTCCTTACAGCATTTTCTTATATTTAAAAAAAAAAACTAGTATTTCACAAATATACTTCCCTTCAGTCAATGAGTGTAAGACATATTTCCCCAAGTAAAACCTTCATCATCTGGAACCTTCAAGGAAGCAGTCATTCTGAATAGTTATAAATTCAATAAACATTTATTAAGCACTCTATGAAATTTTGTGTTGGACTCTGGAAGTTCAAAGACAAAAAAAGAAAGAAAAAAACCCCACCCAGTCCTTCATCCCAAGGAGCCTACATTCTGCTGAGGAATGTGGCATGTATCTAATCACAAGGTCATTTGAAAAGGGAAAACTCATCAATAACTTGAGGGATATTGGAAGGCTTTGAGAAGGAACTAAATAAGCTGAGAAGGAATAAAATTCTCAAGGCAGCGCATTCCAGGCCTGGGACATAGGAATCTGAGTTCACAGAATGCTTAATACTCAAGCCGGAAGAAATAGAGACTACGTAAAGGAGGCGGGTATAGCCCACATAGACTCAGGGGGTCCTTATTATCCCAGCATCCCCATTTGCACTACCAAGCTGTCTCCTCCAAGCTCCAGGGTAACCCTGATGAATTCAAGGTGTCTTTCTAATGCCACAGCTCATGACTGTCCACTTCTCACTATGTACTTCTCACTATGATTATCTGTTAATATCAGCGTCAGCCAGGCTTGGTTTTTAGATAGTAACATTAAGGTAATAAAGTAAGAGCAGTTAGGTCAAACATCCCCCAAAAGTCTGCGACATTGTCCCACAAGTACATAATGAGTCCAGAGGAAGGTGGGTCCAAGTTTAGAGAGCACATATGTTAAAGCGATAACTCACAGCTCCTGGAGGTCCTAAGGAAAATCAATGGTGTACTTTTTCTGCTGCTTTCTTAGTAGTGGGGTCTGTCTTCAGCTGTCATTGAAGTCACTGTCACCCTTCTAGGAATGCTAATAGGACACTGCCAGAAGGAAGGGAGGAGGCAATCCAGACCTAGGTTGAAGTGTTCTCCTTCCTTACCCCCCTCCCACCTTCCCAAACCAAGCAATTCCTCAGGGTCTTGGCTGGAACTATCGTCCTGCCTTGATGCGCCCTTGAAATCTCTGATTCCTACTAAATCAGTGGTCTTAAATGGCATGCCCAAGTCCCCTAGCCAATCCCAACAGACTTCCTTTTGATTTCAGGCTACTTTCACACCTACTGAACAATCATGATGTGTTCTCACTTGGTAAAGGACATAGCATCTTATCACTGACTTTGAATGGGGTGGAACAGTTGTCTTAACCTTTTTGTGTTATGGACCCCTTGTGCAGACTGGTGAAACTCGTGGACCCTTTCTCAGCATCATGTTTTTAGATATATAAAACAAAATGCATAGGATTACAAAAGAAATCAATTACGTTGAAATAATAATTTTTTTTCAAAAGTTCATAGTCACCAAGTTAACAACACCTGTTCTAGGCTGACCCCTACACTCACACTAGTAAGATAGGTTGAAGCCAGATTGTGGGGAGCTCTGTAGGCACATTAGTTAATATTACGTTAAACCTTGAATTTAATTATTTTGGGATGGAAATCTTCCTAAAATGTATCACACACTTCCCTACCTTCTTTAAAAAGTATCCATAACTCAATTTAACCTTTTCCTGATGAAACAAGGTCATCATTATGTCATATCATTATGCAGTAATCATAGGGATCTCCTCAAGGCCTATTGCCCCTACCACCAAAATGACCGTGGCCTTTTTTTTTTTCTCCCAGTCTTTTTTCTGAATGAACGAATCATTTACTAAATTCGTACTATGCACAATGTAATATTCTAATAACTGGGAACACAGACAGAAAAAGCAAGGCAGTTCCTGATCTCAAGGAGCTCACATTCCAATGGTCCTTAGGGTGCAAGAGCAAAGCAGACAGTAACAACTCTTATTTAATGTTCTCTCCACTGATAAAAGTCTTATCAGTTTCTGATGTTGAACTATTTGATAGTGCCAAGGACTTTGTGGATGACTTTCTTTTCTGGTTGCAGCACCAGGAACAGTTGCCAGCCCGCATGTCCACAGTGGTTACTTCCCAGGATGTCATATGAGGGCACTGGGCTCAGGGGTCCAGGCTGTCTCCATCAGGATCCAAGGAGAAATGATGGTCAAGGTAGTGGTACTGGTCCAACTTGCCTGGCCCATAATGCCTCTCATCTGCCTTACTGTCCCCCACCCCCACCCTAAGTGCTTTGCTGCCCCGGTCAGACTGGCCTGTCCACCCTGGGTGCCAGCTGTTTTGCAGTTCATATAGATGGCCAACCTTCTCCCCACATGAGCCATTTCCCTGAACGATGGCTGTGAGGCCTGGGCTGGAAGCAGGACTGGTGGTCCCACCATACAGTGGAGGGGCAACCCCTCCCAGGGCTTCTGCAATTTTCTAAAATTCTGAATCTCAGACTACAAATAGGAACTGCCTCTACCAATGCAGTTGGGCACCTTTTTTTTTTTTGTGAGGCAGTTGGGGTTAAGTGACTTACCCAGGGTCACACAGCTAGTAAGTGTCAAGTGTCCGAGGCCGAATTTGATCTCAGGTCCTCCAGGGCCAGAGCTCTATCCACTTCGCCACCTAGCTGCCCCTGTGTTGGGCACCTTCTAACTGAACTTTAGTGTAGGGGTATTTATCTTGGTTGATCAGAAGCCTTTTTATTTACTTCTCAATTCTTCCAACTTTGTTTCAGATAAAAAGACTAATACAGTAAGACTTCAGATGTCCAAAGACATGAACTGCATGACTATGGTCAATCAATCAATAAGCATATATGAGCCAGGCACTTGGTATACAAAGATGAAAGTGAAAGTTTTTGCCATCAAAGAAGGTAAATCAGTCTCATTACTTTACAGCAACATGCCAAACAACTTACACATCTTGCTCATACTATTTACTGCTTGCTGCTTTTCCCTTGCCAGGGATCTGGAAAAGCCCATTGGGATGGGGGGGGGGCACTAGAAAAAATCTGCCAAGGTGGGAAGAGACTCTCTATGCCAGTGAACCACCTAACTTTCTCAATATGTAACTTTAATTTTAAAAGGTGCTTTAAGCAGAAGCATGAATCATCACCAATTCCCACTTTGGCCCAGTGTGCCATGGTTCTCTAGCAGTGCTCCCCACTTAAATTTGGACTGAAAGACCAAACCTAAAATCATCAGTGTCACATACCAAATGTCTTCAAATGTGGCCCAAAAAAACTTGTGTATGTGGTTAAGTTTTATAGGGCTTTTAAATGCTAACAAGGAAGGTTAAAAAAAAAAATCTTAAGTCCATCACTTAAGTCACAGTAACAAAGCTTTATAGCTCAACTCCATGGGCAAGTAGTAATTTTCTTTGGGACTGAAATCTGTTATTTCACTGGGAACTCCCAGTTCTGGAATTCTATCTACCTAGAGAGAGCTGCTTCTCTTCTGAAACTTGAAGTCTTACTTAGAGTTACCTAGATTACTGAAAGGTTAAGTAATTTCCCATGTCAAAGCTGGTACTAACTATCCAGTATGACACTGCCTAGTAAATCAGAAAGGACAACTAGGTGGTGCAACGGATAGAGAACTGAGCTGGGAATCTGACTCATCTTCATGAGTTCAAATCTGGCCTCAGACACTTAATACCTGTGTGACCCTGGGCAAGTCACTAAACCCCGTTTGCCTCAATTTCCTCATCTGTCAAATGAGCTGCAGAAGGAAATGGCAACCCATTCCTCTATCTTTGCCAAGAAAACCCCAAAAGGGGTCATGAAAAGTCAGACATGACTGAAACGACTTAATAACAAAGTAAATTAGAATAACAAATTAACAAAAATTGTAGATTTCTTCAAGAATTCTCAAAATACTGTGGAGAGATTGCCACGTGAAGTTGTTTTTAAAAACAGTGGCTCAATAGGGGGCAGCTAGGTGGCGCAGTGGATAAAGCTGTGGCCTTGGAGTCAGGAGGACCTGAATTCAAATCCAAACTCAGATACTTGATACTTAGTAGCTGTGTGACCCTGGGCAAGTCACTTAAACCCATTGCCTCACAAAAAAACAAACAACAACAAAAAAAAAACCAGTGGCTCAAATACTATGTATGATCATCTCAAACAATACTATTTAAATTCTGAATATCTTTTTGCAGCTAGGTAGCAAGGCATAATTTAATTAGAATTAAGAACCCCATGAAACTCAAAAGTATTTTTATGGGGACAAAAAAGAATTCAAATTCAGACTACCATTAATTTAAGTGCTACACCAAGTAGTCTAACCTTCAAAACCAAGCAGAATCCTCATCAGTAAGCTTAAAGGGAAAAGGTCATTCTTTCAATTGCTAGAGTGTAATAGCTGCATGCTAAGGATGTTCTAGTGGATACTTCATCCGAGCTATCTGATTAAGTCTTATTAATAAAGAAATAAAGGTGGTTACTTTGACCCTATTTTATTCTAAATTAAGAGTTAAGGAAGACTTCTGGAGCACCAGAAGTTAACTGGTACTAAAAACCTCATTCTTATAGATGGGGAAATGACTCACCCAAAGTTACTGGCAAAAATAGCAAGGCCAAGGAGTCAAACCATTCTCTTGACAACATATCCAGGTTTCTTCCCACTATGTGACTTCTGCCTCTAAGTTAAATGTTACCATATTTCATATGCCAATAGAAAAATCAATAGTAACCACTCTATAATCCCAATACCCATAATGAATAATTTTGATTCACCTAGTTAAGAACATGACTTCTTTGGCCTTATGTTCTCTCTTCCTAGGCCTTCATGGGTAAGTTATTATTTCTGTAGTTCATAGGTGTCAACAGTTCAAATTCTACTCCTTGTCTTTAGATAGACTAAATCATCCCCACACACACTCCTTATCTGCCATCTCACAAGTTACACAAAAGCAGCTCTATCTGCCAAATATCATACTAAGAATCAGGATTATAAAGTCGAATGTTCCTGAGACCAGCAGTTTGATCCAGAGGAAGCTCAGGTTGGTTTGCTTTCCTTTCAGGATGGAAAAGGACAGGCAGAAAGATGCAAAGATGCTCTTGGGCTTGCTTCCAACCAGGCATCATTTTCCTTAGGGTATGTAGATTTAACTGGAAAAACACTTACTGTCTCTAGGCCACTGTTTAAACTAAGTTGCAGAAGGGAAGCTTAATATGAATTGATGGGCAGCTGAATGGCTCAGTGGACACAGCACTGGGCCTGGAGTCAGCTTCAGACATTTATTAGCTGTGTGACTCTGGGCAAGTCACTTCTATCAACCCTAGAAAAATGAAAAGTAAAAGGCAAAGATGACAAAAGGAAAATGAAATAGTGGAGGGTTTATCCCACTAATGGAGCTGTGAACTAGTCCATCCCGGAAAGCAGTTCTACTCTGTCACTCAACTGTCCACCTATAACCCTCTGACCCAGCAATACCACTAAAAGACAAAATGGAAAAGGACTCATGCACAAAAAAAGATTTCTAACAGTTCTCCTGTTAGGAAATAACTAGAAACAAACATAACCCCTGCAACTGAGGTATGACTGAACAAATGAAACACCGCACAAGAAATGAGGGATTAGGATTCAGAAACTTAGGAAGATAGAAATGCAGAATATACTGAGCAAAAACATGTGTCATGTAATGTGAAAATAAAGATTTAAGAACTCTGATCAGCAAGGATCAGAGAGATACCTGGTAATGAAATATGCTATCCATAGCCTAACAAAGAGGTGGAGGATTCTAGGAGAACAAGATGTGCAATGACATGACTGCGTGTGAATTTATTTTCTTGACTCTACTTGTTATAAGGGTTTTGGAAATTTTTTTTGGGGGGGGGAGGTGAAGATGCAAAAAAAGACAGATAGGGAGGACAGCTTTGAAACTAATGTATAAAGCAATCCAACTTTATATAAGTTAGACGTGGGGTTTCATATGCAATCCTATTTGTCAATGATTAAATTCAGAACATAAAAAAAGCAAGTTAAATCGGTCATCTCAAAAGTAAAAATCAGATCACAAAAAAGCAAGAATCACGAATAGTTGATTTATTGCAACTGTTACATTTTGAAACCCTTGCTCATCAGGCAAGGGCACAACCAATAATTACATCAGAAAAAGACGGTCTACACAGTCAAATATATAAAAGTTTCTTTTATATTTGCTCAACACTGGTCAGCAAGCAGATTCAGTCCATAGTTAGTTCTGATTCATCTACTGTGTCAAGCCAAGCTTCTTCTTCAGAGACTCTGGCATCTCAGGAGGAGGAGGACGGGGAAGTCTGAAATAGACTTTCACGGAGTCATAGATGAACCACTGTAGTGCAGTCAGGGTACCGATCATGATGATACGGGCAAAGAGCCCCTTCCACACACCTGGTGAAAACAACACGTAAAGCACAATGAAATGAGGCAAAAAAATTCAGTCCTGTGCAAGAGTTGTGGCTGAGAAACAAAATCCTACCTTTGAATCCAAGCCTTTGGAGGACTTGTGAGGCTGAGCTGCCCTTTTCCTTGTTCAGCACAGACACCACGGAGTCAGCAGGGTGGGACACAATGGCACAGAAGACACCGGCTGGAAGAGCAGGACAGTTAATAACTATGCCCTGAGCAGGGTTCGCCTGGCTGATACCACAGTTAGAAAGGAACCAACTACGAAGATGCAATGTTTGAGTGTTCACCTCTTAGGCTTCCTATACTTTGCATACTGGAGAGGTCTAGTTTTCCATTTTGTAATTTCTCTGCAGAGACTAATAAGTCTAATTCACAAACTGCCAACCTAAGAGTTTTAGCTCCATGTCACTGAGCTTCAAGAATTTAATGAACACTCAGAGACAATCTTTTTAAAAATATTTGCTCCTGAGGGCTCGCTGGGCAAAGTGGAAAGCAATCACAGCAATCTGGTCTAACCACCTTCATTTAGAGAAGCAAGGTGACACAGCCTGCCCCAATGTCACTCAAAGTAATAAAGGTGAGTTTAAACCAGGTGCCTGAGTCTTGAAGTCACAGAACATGAAAAACAATTCGTTTGGCAAAATGAATTAAACTTGGTGCAAAATCCCAATGACACTGGGATTCAATAACTAAAAGTGAAAGTATCTATCTATTGAAAGGCAGTTGAAGGTTCACAAGCACTTCTCACCTATGTAACCTGCCACGAACGTCACCACCAGCTGTTCTCCCTTTGAGCACTCACTCCGGGGCTTCGGAACAACGTACTTGTACAGGGCCTCAACAGTGCGCTCAAAGCAAGCAAACTTCATCATGGTGTAGGGGATCTGTCTCATCCATAAAGGAGCAACACCCTTGTAGAATCTGTAAGACCCAAATAGTTAATGTAACAGAAAACTAAAATTTTAAAACCAAAGTTGTTTTGTTTTGAAAAGTCTGTCCGCATACCAGTCAAGTCCTGATAGTAAAAAATGACACACTGCCATTTCTATCAGAACGTATGACTAATGTGCAGGTATATTCCTCTCACATGCCAATGACTCAAGCACCTTTGACAGTACAACCGGTAAAGTTGCTGGATGCCTCTTGACTGGAACTACAAGAAACAAACGTTAGCAAGCAGAACTCAGAACAAGAGTTGGCATCCACAAAGGTGGATCTAAGGAAGCATGTTGGCTACACACCTGCCCTAAAGTGTAAACTGTTCAATCAACACATCTTCTGGTTTCCATTTTTCCAAATATATACATACCCATACATAAAAATAAAATAAGCCATCTCTAAAAAGACAACTCAGACTGGCCCAAGTACCAAGAAAACAAAGATTCAGAGATTAAAGGATTTACACCGTTTGAGGACATATAAAGTAGTCAAAAGGCATTAATGAAGTGCCTACTATGTGCCAGGCACTGTGCACAAGCTCATACAAATAAAATTACTCAGTAACTCAAGGAGAGCTTCCTAGTTTACAAGAGGATTACTGCCCAACAAGCTGGGAGGCACCATGTACTGGCCTTATTTTACAGATGAGCAGACTGGAGAGCTCAGAAACAAAGGGACCTGAAGCCTCACACTGCTACTGCTTCTTCCTGGCCTCCAACCTGAAGCTGAGACTCGGGGCCAGGTCCTTCAATCCCCAAAGCTTGCCTAAATGGCTGACTCACAAGCTCGAGATGAGTCTTTCTGTGTTCGTCGTCAACGTCCTTAAATTACGGGCCCAATCAAGGGTTTTAGGGAACCTTCTACATTTTATTTGCCACGCTAACAGAAAATGACTGAAAGGACCCACAAAAGACCAGAAAATCACGCAGATGGATTCCACACAGAGAATTCAGACCCATCACTTACGCAAAGAGGCCCTCTTCTTGGAACATTTTTGGGGCGGCCTCCCTCAGGGTGTTGGCGTAACCCGGCTGGGTCTGAATTCTGACCTTGGCAGCTTCCATAGGAGCCAGGGCAATATCAGCGAAGAATTCAGCACTGGCTGAAGCGGCCAGATACAGGGACGTGCGCCAGACGTAAGCGTTTTCCTGAAACCCCAAAATGAGAAATTAAGTGAAAGGGAAAGAGACTTTCTGTCTCCCTTGTTTTCAGATTACCTCTACATTACCATTTTGAAAACAAGTACAGGGAAAGCTAATCTCATAATTACAGCTTTGACATGTAAGACACTAAGTCAGATGCAACCACCCTTCTAATGTATCACTTTCCCATTCTCTAAATATTGGCAGGCAATCTGAGGTACATTCTGACATCTCATATCACGGCATGGGTTTCTTCTGGTTATCCAGGCCAAAAGGCCTAAGTTCATCAAAAGGAGGAGGCAGAAGCAACATGGTATAGTAAAAATAACTCTGGATTTCATCACCAACCAGTTTATGACCTTGGGCAAATTACATCTTTAAATTTCAGTTTCTGATTTTGTAAAAACTACAACTGTTCAAAAACATATGGTTCAGTGTATGTATGTTTAAAGTTATAATTATTTACCTCACCAAGAATGTTGCTATACAAGACTTTGAAGACTTCATAAAAGCCAAACTTGCAGAGTCCCTGCATTGAGTAGCCAATAAACGTTGGAGCCCATCCTTTAGCCAGACCACGAAGACCATCTTCTCTAAGTGTGATGGAGAATCCATTAAAGATGCCCCTGTATTTCTGAGGGTCCACCTTAAAAAGCCACACAAAACAAAGAGATGTAACATCTCCAAAAACCTTCAACTTGAGCCATAAAGTCCCAATGCTTCTTAAGGAAACTTACTTTCACTAGTAGCTCACTGAAATATGGGTATGCCATCCTTGCATAATTAAGTGAAGTTACTAGAAAGAATAATGATGCCTGAATCAAGCATTGAGTAGTTCATTATGATGAACTTAGCCTAATACTTCTTAGCTATGAGCATTACTTTTTAACACTGGCTAAAAAGCATAAAACAGATTTATGATATATCCTATAATTTACATAATGTTAAGATATCAAAGAAAACCACTTTTTGATAACACACATCAAAATATTAATTACGGCACTCCCTAAGGATTTTTGATCACATGCCAGCAAAAATACTGAGATTCTTGAACATATGTCAACAGTTCTAAAGTTCAGCTGCTGAGAATAGTGTGAACTCAAAACTAATGAGTGAAAAGGTTCATTTAAAAAAATACAATGTGCTTCAATTATTAAACACACACAAAACAAACAGACCAATACGTCAGTGAAGAGAACTGTTCACATTCCTTTACATAACATCTACGATTAAAAGATCTTATCTCACTATGACTGTCAATGCTAGGATACTTCACCTTCCTCTTACTCCTAATAGTTCACCTCTCTCTCCCTTATAGGTAAATGGACTTCTAGTTTGGGATTTATCCTGTTTGGGATAAATAAATTTTTGATAATTCATTATTTTTATTTTTAACACTATCATCCTGATTTTTTTTAAAAAATTAAGCTCAAAAAGCCTATGTACAAATATATTGAAAGTCAACCCTTTTATTAAAAAAAAAAAACACATAAGCAAATCCCATATAGTAAAACTTGGACTGCCTAAGTTAACACTTCACATGCCGCTAAAACAAGATGGACAATATAGAACCTGGTTAACGAAGGTTAGGGATAAGAAAAAGGACCCAAATGAGACACTTCAGCTATGCTGGAAAAGGCAGCAAAAGGAGGCACCTCCCCAAATTGTTCTTAAAAAGAACGTGGCAGGTTTCAAATACAACAAGTAAGGCTTTACTTGTCAGTAGAGGTTAAACTGTTTTTGAGACCAAGAAAAAAAAACAACAGTATTTTGAACAGTTTCATCTTGCATCATGGATTTCAAATGAACAGCAGAATTTTATTTTTTTACTTCTACTTTCTTCCTTGCTTTTAAAAGCATTTTATGGTTTTAAGAATCTTGCCACAAATCCCAAAGCCTTTCACAGAGCCAACTCAGTACAAACCTGCATCCTGCATTTCACTAAGTCGAGGGGTACAACAGCAGTGTGTGTCAGGCCACAACTTAAGACCCCACCAACGCCACAGAGCGCATAAAACTTCATGGAGCCATATTCACAACTGTATTCTGTAGCAGAAACAAGACACACCATGCTTTTTAATAGAAAAACTCATGTTACTAGAGAGTAACTTACCTTCTGGTCAATTAGGATTTGCACACAGCTTGTTAGTAGATGCCCACACTCGACACTCTCACAGCCATGCAGCAAGGATGGACTGGAGTCCAACATGCCAAACCAACCTGCATTCTGCACTTAACCAGATCTAGGGGAACCAACGCTGTGTGCGTTGTGCCACAGCTAATAATTCCTCCGAGGCCACAAAGGACAAAGAATCTGCCAGATCCATATTCGCAGCTATATTGCTCTGTTTTCATTTAAAGAAAAAAAAAGTAATTTTTTCTCCAGACACCACAACATCGCAAGTGATAGAAAATATTTGTACACAGAATCATAACTGCACAATCTGACCAATATACTACACTTAATAAAAACTAAGAGAGCTTAAGGTATACATCAATTCCCAGAGAGAAAGCAAACTAGCCTTGTGTGTAGCGCAAAGATACTTCACCCCCCTGTTTACCAATACCCCATCCTCTTCTAATCTATATATAGGACCGTGAACACAAATACTGAAGTAAAGACACAAAAAAATTAAACTAGAATGACATGGAAAAAAATCTAGGTAGGTCGATTTAGAAAAAAAGCAGAAAAGGAGTGGATGAAAGGAAGTCAAGTCCAGTAGTTACTGATCCACTCCAGGGGCTAATTCTCCCTGCTGGTTTAAGGTTGTCACAGAAGCTCTACAGGGATTTAAAACACACAATTAAAAGTCCAACATCCACTTTAACAAAGGGTTAGGATAAATTATCTTTTTTTCTACAAGATAATTACCTCATGCTAAAAGATTCTACCCATTCCCCCCTCTTGTCAGAGAAATGAATGAGGTCAGACCTATAAGTTTGCTTTGCTTAACTGTACTTTGAAGACCAAATGCTCCCTGAGCAGAAGAAAGGATGATTTTTTTCTTTCCTTTATAAATTTTTCTGCCACAAGGGCCATCACTGCAAGAAATCTTTTCCAGCCCTCAATCCCAGTACTTTCTCAGAGACGACCTTCAATTTCTCTTGTCTACACCTTGTTTGCACTCTTATGTTTGCTTGTTGTTTCTCCCCATGACCGTGAGCCCCTTTAGGATAAGGACTGTCTTTGGCCTCTTCTTGTGTCCCCTACTTAGCACAAAGCTTGGCACATAGTAGGTACTTAATAAATGCCTGGACACTCAGGGGCTAGCATAGCCTCAAACAGGTATCAGGACATAAACTGTTAACTGGTACAGAGAAATGCCAGGTGGAGAAGCTTCCTTATAAAGGCAGGCAAGTGCTTTCCCTGCAACTGCTGGTCTTAAAAAGAATGGCAGAGAACTTGTTCAAGGTCACATTGTAAATCTATGTCAGGAGGGATGACTCTGGGTCTTCCTGGCTCCAAGGCTAGCTCAAAGTCACTACTGTCTATATTACAATGCCTGGCACAGTTAATACTTGCTTTATTACATTTAAAATTATGAGTTCCACTGGAATGGGGGGGGTGATTATCAGGAAATTACAGCAATGGAAAAAATCTTAAGTAGCTACTATTTAGCCACCAATTGTATGAAATTTATTGATAATTTACAAAATTCACCCTATCAATGCTATCTCTTCCTACTGTCTTCCTGACTACCATGGGAGGTTGGTGCTATTATTACTATCACCATTTTACAAATGAAGAAACTGAGGCAGAGGTTAGGTGACTTGTGCAGATTTGAATTCAGGTCTTCCTGATTCCAAGTGCAGAGCTCCATCCACTGCATTCCACTCATTTTTTTATTTAGTGTTGTTTGAGGGTGGGAGGAGGTACAAAGGATAATTAGAAAATAAACTTAAAAACAGCCAAAGTACCTCCTTGACCACGATTCTGGAGAGGTGAATGAGGCCTTGGATGCCCTTTCTCCCTTAGAGGGAAACTGAGGCCCAGGGGAAATCGGAGGATCCCTGAGCGGGGGTCACCGGGTGACCTTGGGCAAATCCCCTTGCTCCCGTGGAGGCCTCTCCGTTGGCTCGGTCCCCCTGCGGCCCTCAGCTTTCCGGAGGATCCCCTCCTGGCCGGCTGTTTCCCCAATCAGAGTAGAAGCTCCCTGTGGGCAGGGCCAGGGTTTGCCCTTCCCTTGCCTGCCTCCTGCTCGGTACCGAGCCTAGCACTGAATGATGCCTGTCCCCAACCTTGGTTTCATCGCTTGTAAAAATGAGGTCCATCAGTGGCTGACTCTATGACCTCTCCGGGCCTCAGTTTCCCCCCATGTCAAGAGCGGCCTCCGAATCCATTCCGGCCCTAAATCTACGGGGCGATATCCTCCCCGGCCTCAGTTTCCTCTTCTGTCAAACGGCGGGGCCGGGCTGGGCAGCCTCTGTATCTCGCTCTGCCTCAGTATCCTCGCCTGTCAAGGGAAGGGCTTGGGCCGCCCGGCCCCCTAGCCCCGTCCCCGATCCGAGGCAGCGACCCGGCGCGGGCGCGGCCCGATGACCCGCCCAAGGTCACGGGGCCGGGCCGAGCGTCTCACCTTCCACGGCGGCGGCGGCCAGGCTGCGCGGGCGGAGGCGGCGGGGCGCGCCCGGGGGCACCGCGGGGCTGGCGTCGGCCTCATACTGCACCAGCTGCAGGTGCGGCGCGTGGAAGGGGTTGGCGCGCGCCAAGTGCGCCACGGACGAGTACATCCTCCTGCGGGAAGAAGGCCGGGGCGGCCGCGCTCAGCCGACGGAGGCCGGCGAGGGCCGCGCCAGTCACCCCGGCAGGGCGCGCCGGCTTCCGCGGGCCCCCCCTCCCCGAGTCCCGAGTCCCGCGCCTCGCGCCCCCCACCCCGGCCTCCCCGGCTGGCCTCCCCTCCGGCGTCGCCCGCTCACCTAAGATGGCGGAGACACAACCGACCGTCCGCTCCGGCAGGCTGCGGCTCACAGAGACCGAACGTCCTCCCCGCCCTAAAGTCTGTGCCCTCCGTCCGGCGTCACCGTGACGCCGTCCGCGACGTCACCGCCACCGCGAGCCCGCCGGTTGGTGGAGCGCGGCTCCGCGGCGCCAACGTCACCGCGTAGCCCCGCCCCTCCCGGAGATGCCCGCCCCCTGCGCAAGAGACCTAGCTTTCGCGCAGGCTCGCCCTTGGCCGTCTTCAAGACCGTGTTACGCGGAAGCCGCGGGGCTGACTCTTTACTTCGTCCTCTGAGCCCAGAGCGCCGGAGCTGGCCGGACGGACGGACGTCCGTCTTGTGACGTCATACGATTCAGACCTAGGGGAGGGGTCGTCGCGCCCTCTCTGAGCTTCGTCCTCAGTCGCTTTGGTTGATAAATTTGGTTGATAAATCCCTGACTATTACCTCCATTATCTTGTAACTGATCAGAAATTCCACCTCCTCCTCCCCGCCCTCCCCCACCCTTCCCGCCCACACTGTCCTGCAGCATCGATCCGACAGTGCCACCTTCCTGCTCCAAAACCTTCTGGGGCTCCCTGTTACCTGGCTGAAGGTATAAGACTTCAGACTTTTTAGTATGACATTTAAGACCTGTCACCTGGCTCCCACCGCCCTTCCCAACCTTTCTGTACAATACTCCTCTTCCTAAAGAACTAAGGAGCTAGGTGGTACGGTGGACACAAGGCTGGACCCAGAGGGGCGCATTCCTCAGTTCAAAATCAGCCTCGGACACCGAATATATTGTTCGGTGACCCTCAGACAAACCACACCCTCTAGTCTGCCTGTTTCCCCATCTGCAAAACGGAGCTAATACCACCTACCTCCCAGGTTTTCTTCGAGGATAAAATGAAATATTTGTAAAGCACCTTGTGAACCTTAAAGCTTACATAAGTGCTATTATTATTACAGTGCAAAGTGTGCTGTATTTGGAATATAAACTCCTTGTCAGGGGGGATTGTTTCATTCTGGGTAATTGCATACACAAGGAAGTTAGGTGATGCAAAGGTTAGAATGCTGAGCAGCACCCAGCACAGTGCCAGGCACATAGTAGGGTAGGCTTTCAATAAATGCTAGTTGACTGATGTGGAATGTGGAATTTGAACCTAGGCTCAACTCTCCGCCGTAAGCACTCACTAGCTGGGTGACTCTGGGCACCTGTTTCATCTATAAAAAGTAGATAATGATAGTACCTACCTCATCCGGTTGCTGTGAGGATCAATGAGACAACATTTTAGGTCCTTTGCAAGTTAACTGTTGTTATCGCCAGCGACTGGCACCTTGCCAGTACTCGATAGATGCTTGTGGATTGCTTTATTTGGAATCAGAGGACACGGGTTCAACTCTTACATTTGACTTACCTCTTCCGTGAAATAAGGGTATTGAACTAGCTGGCTTCTAAGATCCCTTCTGTCTCTAAATCTATGGCCCTGAACTATGAATTCCAGAAGGACTGGGCTATATTCCATTTCCCAGGATTTGACACTCCATCTCCATCCATCCTGTATTTTTGTAAGCCACCCACCATGCCCTGAATGCATTCCCACTTCATAGCCACATCTTAGAATCCTCTTTCTTCAAAACTCAGCCAAGATACTACCTCCTCAGTGAAGACTTCCCAGATACACCCAGTTAGTGCTGTCTTCCTCCTCCATTCTCCTTGTGCTATGACTTATTTGTATATGTGTTGGAATGTAAGCTTCTTGAAGTCTTAGATGATCTGCAAAATCTCCTTCAGTTGACTGACTTTGATAGACTTAGCCCTTCTCAGCATTGCAAAGATCTAAGACGTCTCCAAAAGTCTCATAATAGAAAATGCTATCCACATCCAAAGAAAAACTATGGAGTTTGAATGCAGATCGAAGGATACTATTTGCTATTTTTTTTCTTCCGTTTTGTTTTGTTTCTTCTTTCTTGTGATTCCTCCTATTGGTTCTAATTCTTCTTTACAACATGACTAATGTGAAAATGTTTAATAGGAATGTGTATGTAGAACCTATATGAGATAGGGAGGGAGGTGGGGAAAATTTAAAAATGAAAAGTTTATGGAAGTGTTTGTTGAAAAGTAAAAATAAATTAAAAAATCTCCATCAGCTCTAAAATTCTATTGGCCAAATAAAATTGTATTTCTTTAAAAATATCCCATCGCCAGTGGTCTAATTATTATACATACACACATATAATCACTATTTACAGATGGGGAAACTGTGCCTCATAAAGGTTGAGCGACTTACCCAAGGTCACAGACAGTAAGTGACAAAGTTGGGAATGGCATCCAGGACTCTGGAAAAAGAGTATAATAAAATACAGTAACTGTCATGTCAGAAGCAAAAGTAAGGAACAAAGAATTAAGGCAGAAGACTGTTGTTTGCAAAAACAGACCCCAGAATCTGAAATAGTTTTGGAAAGAAATTGATTACGTCATTTGGTAGAGGAGAGTGAGCCAGAAAGGAGGTGTGGCTCCCTCTCTCCAGGTTCTGGAAGATTTAGATCATGTAGCACATGGAACTCCATGTACAAAGTTGAGCAGTTTTGTTGAGGGCAGCTGGAAAGCAAGGTAGATTGACATAGGTTTGAACAATTATAACCTAAAACAGAAGCTTGGGGTGGGCCCCTCAGGAGCTCCTGGGTGTGGTAACCAAAACAAGGATACTTTGGTGAATCCCTGGCCTGAGGGAATTGGAAATAGTTTGTAGCCATCTCTGGTATTCCAAGAGAGTTACTGGGTCAAGCAACATTTTAGAGGTAGACAACATGAGGTTGGATTTAAACAGTATAATAATTTTTCCCAAACAGTTTGATAAATCATTTTGCCTATAACACAATGCCCACCTGGGTTGTTTTTTTTCCCCCTTCCTGCCTTCCTTCCCTCCCTTTAATTTGCAAGGGAGATCTAAAGAACATTTGGGGAACTGGTGAAAATCATGGGACCTCAGGACCAAATGGCCTTTGGTGATTTGTTGAAATTCAGCCTCCCAAAATGATGTTGAAAGGGTACAAGTTTGGTGATCAGGAAGAGATGAAAGTTAATGTGGACTTTCTAACCTTAAGTCAAAGAGAAGCTTATGTCAGACCAGGGGAATGTAGGCTCAAAGAGGCTAAATGTGTGTGAACTCTACTTAACTGGTCTATTTAGGTCCCAAAAGGATTTGATCTCTGGAGGCAAAACTCTCCTGGCGAGAAAATTCACACCCAGCTAAGACTTTGAGAACTAACAGATTCTTCTCAAGTCATTTATTAAGCACCCACTATGTGCCAGGAACTATGCTAAATGCTGAGGATATAAAGAAAAGAGGAAAAAAACAGTCCCTGTTCTCAAGGAGTTAACAGTCTAATGGGTGAAACAATATGAAAATAGCTATGTAGAAACAAGATATACATAAAGTAAATGAAAAATAATCTCAGAGGGAAGCCATTAGCATTAATGGGGGATCAGGACCTTCTTGTAGAAGGTGGGATTTTAGCTAGGACTTAAAGGAAATCAGGAAAGCCAGGAGGTAGTCATGAGGAAGAGTAGAGTACCAGTCAATGAAAATGTCAGGAGGTGGGGTATCTGGTTTGAAGAACAGCAAGCAAGCCAGTGTCACTGGATCACAGAATGTGATGGAGGGTGAAGAGATGGGGAGTAAGACATATGACTAGAAAGGGAGCAAAGGGCCAAGAATGAAGATCTTTGAAAGCCCCATAGAGGATTACATATTGATCCTGGAGGTGATAGAGATAGATCCTGGAGTTCACTGAGAGGAGGCTGAACGTGTGGTCAGACTTGTACTGTAGGAAAATCACTTTGGTGGCTGAATGGAGGATGGACTGAAGTGAGGGGATCTGAGGCAGGAAGACCAACCAATAAGCAGGCTATTGCAATAGTCCAGGAGTGAAGTGGTGAGGGCCTTTGCTAGAGTGGTGGCAGTGTCAGAGGAGAGAAGGGAACAAATCTGAGACATGCTGCAGAAGTGAAACCCAGAGGCCTTGGCTTGTATAGGTTATAGGAGAGGGAAATGACAAGGAAGGATGATTCCCAGGTTGCAGGCCTGGGTGACTCGGAGAAAGATGGCACCCTAGGCAGTAAAAGGGAAGTTTTAAGAGGGGAGGATTGGTGGGGGAGAAGATAAGAAGTTTGGTTTTGGCTATGTTGAGTTTAAGATGACCACTGGACATCCAATTCAAAATGTCCAATAGTGAATTGAAGAGTTCTTGGCAAATGGCCCCAATTTGTGAAATGTGAGGTAAGGTTCTCAGCTGAGAAGGTAGAGATGGAGGAGCCATGGAAAGTTTGGAAAAACCATTGTGGTGAGTAGGAGGGTGGATTGTAAATGATGTGTATATGCACGTATACGATATATACGAACACATGGGTTGTTTCAATGTGGTTCAAAGATGGACAACATGGATAGATATCTCTGGAATCTGCTCCACCCTCCACCCCTCTGTTAGGGAAACTGTGGTTTCTGCCTTGAGGGGAGGAAGGAAGGAAAAAACAAGCATTTATGAAGTACCTACAATGTGCCAGCTATTGAGTTAAACACCTTAGAAAGATTTCATTGGATGCTCAAAACAACCCAGGCAGGTGGGTGTGGTTCTTATTCCTGTTTTACAGTTGTGGAAACTGAGGCAGGCAGAGGTTGAGTAACTATCCCAGGGTCCCAAAGCTAGTAAGTATCTGAAGCAGGGTTTGAATTTAAATCTTCCTGACTCCAGGCCCATCTCTCTATCCAGTGGGAAGTGGAAAAAGAGCTGTGTTTTGGGTGCTTACTTACTCCTTCCCTCATCTATCTCCAAGGGGGTATTGGACAAGTTTTATATCTGTTTTTCCCTAAATGTTTTCTGTTTTAGAGGCATAGTAGGTTCAGAACAAAAGCTGCTTCCCTAGTCACTAGCCCTTAGCTCACAGTTGCCAGCTGGATTCCTTCCCACCAAACAGTGGTCACCCAAAAGACCATCACAAATTAACAAAGGAGAGTAAACTCATTAAGCCAAGTAAAACAGACATTGGAGCTCCACAGATGAGATTACACCAGGAATTAC